ACGGCTTTATCACATCATGCATCACAGTATAAAATATTCGAATCGCTACGAAATGTTTCGTTCGGAAAATCTCGCACGTACCTCATTACGAGGTCTCTTTTTTTAGGAGCAACTTTCGGCATTTTCGATTAAACACAGTGATATAATGACTCATTACTCATTTATAAAATATAATTAAACAATTGTCATTTTTCATGTGTTATTGAATATTTTTTAATGCAAAGTGGTTCATAAATCAGTGGTAGCTTCTGATCACTGGGATCGCTATAATAATGTGCATAATGCATATAAACTTCTTTCTTTTAGTTTGTGTATGCATATTAATTTTAAATGCATAATAAACAGACGTCAAGAACTGCAACAATATATTGCATTTTGTACATTTTTAATTTTTATACGTTCTCAGTATAATACGAATTATTAACCCTTTCATTAAAATGTAAAAGAATAAAGTGATTAAATGCATTAGTGTAATCTCACTAAATTATAACTGCAAAATTACTATATATAGGCAAGAGGTAACATAAGTATTGATCAGTTAATTAATCAAAATTAATAACTCGAACTAAAATTCAATTATTTTTTAGAAGAGAACATTTTATACTTTAGGACGATGTTTKTATAGTAATTCGATTTTCGTTCACGATACATTAATTATAATTTAAAAAGAAAAAACGAAAAGGCATTGATTGACTAATACAGTACGTGTCACTTTATATTAAAATAACTTAATAATCCACACTTACGACTTACACTTACCYCTATTGTAAAACGCTTAGTGCGAAATGGTGGAATTAAAATAATCCTATAATAATTTCACCTAAAACAGCTATGGGACATAAGGGTAAAAAAAACTCGGGAGGCCACTGTCAGAGCTGTCACTGGGTCATATTATTGTGTTGAATCGTCGTCCTACAACTGTAGTACTGTCATTGATTGTAAATTATGAACTTATAGTACATTAGGAACTTGGTAATCCAAGTATCCGACAGATGTCAAATCAAGGTAGGTACTGCCTAAGGGGGTTTCACATAAAAATGATTTTTACTTATTGAGTCTTAMATTTTTACTAATGTTAAAAAAATAACCTTATGCCTTATGGTATTTTATTAAGACACATCGATTGTATTATGCACTTACATATTAATTTATTGCATACTGCGTTGAATTAATCTCGTTTGATAGAACAGGTTTAAAAAATTATCAATTAAAAAACAAAACAAACTTTTTTTTTTTGAAATAATAAATAAACATCTCATGGGCTTTTTGTTAGATTTTAATTTTAAAACGAGTTATGGTTATTTTTAAATTGTTAATAGTTTGCAAGTCTTCAAATTCTTACGACTCGCTTTAAAATTAAAATATAATAATAAAAAAAAAA